ACTGATTTCCATGGAAAATTCATCTGTGTTTTTGAATGCCATCCAGCTCCATTTTTTGCTGTTACTCCTTTAGTTCTGTCATGTGGTTGCTGCAGTTCATGTTCCCAAACTTTTGTTCAGCAGGGTACGATGTGCTTACAGAGACTTTGCATTACAGGTTTTGTAATCTTAACACTGGCTCAGTGCAAAAAAACTGAAAAGTCATGGTAATACTGATGGTGTGCAACAAATATGGCAGTGCAACTGCCATTAAATGTCACCATGCTAATTCAAACAAATGCTGTGGTTCAAAGAACTGCTGCTTCTATTTGAATATAATAATCTGGCAATGATAGAAATGAAATAGTTGAAAGCACTGTTTTGCACAATTCAAAAGAAAAATGGAAAAGTGTCAGTATTAGAATGCATTACTGACTACTTGCTACTTTTCATCCATTCTCCATCACTGATTTTCATGTTTAGTTTGTGCTCAAATGTGCCAAGAACCCCTTCTTTCTAACTCCATAACTAAGAATTTATCCTAGCATTCTGCAAAAACATTTTCTCCAACATCTAGCATGCATGTGTAATACAAAAGAAGCCTAGCTCTGAAATGAGAGTTTCCAGAGTCTAATAAGATATTATACAAGCAGATTACTGCAGCTAATGCCAGTGAGCCTTTGGCTGAAGTCAACCACTGAACATTATTCCTTAATTATTCTGGTAGTGACAGACTAGCCCTATGATTATGTGGAATGAGATGGATGCCTCAGGCATTATATTTGGAGTGTCATGAAATAGGAGCTAATTATATGTCCTTTTTCATGTCACCTACAAGAGATACAGATATGTGCTTGGAGCATTTTTCATCTCAAGGGCCCAGATATTTATTTAACTTGGATACAGTACTTGGTTTGTTTACTGGGGGTGCTTGTTGCTTCATTTACTCCAGGCAGCAAAATGTCTTGGTTCAGCCTTAGTCAGTGAGAGTCTGCAAACCATTATTTATTGCATTTTTAAATTGGGGTGCGACTTCAGAACATATTCATTTTGTATTTCTGAATATCCATGCAGAGAGTATGTATTCATTCTACACTACTTACGGAAAAAACATTCATAAACATTTGTATTCCAGGTGTCAAAGAGGTTTTTGGGGTATCAGGAAACTCATATTTTCAGGTCCTAGTTCCCTAAAAGAACTACATTTGATGTAGTTCTTTCAATACTTCTGATACACATTCTGCCATTGGTAGTTGGTGGCTTCCATGTTAGTGGAGCACTGAATCCATTCTTGTCTAAAGTAATCTTAAAGAACTAAGCTAAACCTATTTTGGCAATACAGTTCAGAACCTTGGATAGATCATTAAAACCCAAACTCATTGCCCCACTGAGAGGAAAGGCACTAGCCACTATTTCCATTTACTTGAAGGAAGGAAAAGTGGCAATCTCAGAATAATTTCTTATGGAGCCCTATTCTTTGAATTTCCACTGATACGTAGTACTAATTATGTACTAAAAAGGTTAAATTCCAAATGATATAGTCAAGATATTTTTTAAAACACAACTCCCAGGCTATTCCAATCAGTATGTCCTTTGGGTGTTGTAATTCACAAAAAAATAACTTTCCAAGTTCTTCCACCACATAGTCCATGCTTTTCTGTGTCTGGTTGTAATACTACTAGTTATCTCAAAAAACAGTGTATTTATAGACATTCAGATTATGCCTCCACAAGGCCAAATATCTTATGTGGAAAAGCATACCCCACATGATCTTACCCTTCTACTTGATCCATGTCTTCATGTGAACATGGTTTCATGTACGTAAGAACATCCATTGTGATGTAAGATCTTGTCAAACATCCCAGTGGGAAACAGTGCTATGAAGTATGGTGGCTGTAGGGATGCATTAACATGTGACACTCCCATGCATTAATGGAATGCACACATATTTATGGGGCCATCTGAGTCCCCCTTCCCACCACCATATACTTCCTTAAGGAAAGAGGAAATATGCTATTTTGACTGCCCAACAAGGAAGTAAAACTCAAAATCTGTTTATGGACATGATTCTTTGCACTGATACATGCAGTGAGTAAAACAGCAATCATTACCATAGGGCCCTTCCACACAGCTGTATAAAATCCACATTGAACTGGAATATATGGCAGTACGAATTCATATAACCCAGTTCAAAACAGATATTATTGATGATCTACCTTGGTATTCTGGGTTATATGGTTGTGTGGAAGGGTCCGCACTTGCATCTAAGCTAGACGTATAAATATATATTCTTGAATACACATTTGTCCCTTCATGCTCTCCTTATGGTAGATTTTAGTTCAGATTGTGGGATAGATAGTAAAGGTTCATCTCACCCACATCTAGAAATGAGCAAACTTTATCAAGCTCAACTTGGCACATGTTTTCATCATACAGTGTTATCTTCATTCGGTCTTGTTTCTATGAGTTTAGAAAGGTTTTTACACATGCATTTATCAAATATACAATTGTCAAATAGCATTCCAGTGAACAGAGAATTTTGGTTCATTTCAAAATGTATGCATTTTGCATCATTTCAAAAGTACTAACCACCTCCGTTTTAAGTTTATCTGAATTGCATCACAAAATTCGAAATCAAACTATGGTCTTAAAAGTTTGAAAATGTTATACATAAAGTTATTTCAAGCCCACACCACATTTTAGCATTTCATTTTGTTTTGAAAGAGCCGAGCAGATCAGTTACCATGAGGTTTTCCAATCCCTTAAAATCCACAAAGTTAGTATTTGGCTGTATTCCAAGAATACCTCCATTTACAAGCCCTCTGAAAGAATAGTTCTAGCATTATGTATTAGGTTTCAAATGTCTGGCACTAAATGTTTGAACACATATTTTGCACACATCTGAAAAAAATATCTGGATTCCATTCTTAGAAAGCCTTGACTAAACACTTGGGCTACTGAGATATCTGGAAGTCTTTCCTCCTCTTTCCTGCCCCCCCCCCCTTTGTATCATCTTCCCAGTTTTTTAACATCTGCAACACTGATGTCTCTTTTCATGTTACTCTGGGGAAAATCATAATTGAAGATCAATGACCTGCATGGATAGTACCATAAAATGAATTTGTATTTGCTGGTAATAGAGACCACGTTGTTGCAAAGGAAAGGAGAAAGCTGTTATCAAAAAATATAGCATTCTTGCCACTGTTAATCTTCTTATATCACTTAAACCAGGAGAGTTCATGATGCTTACTACTGTGACCTTCATTGGAATGGCCAAGTGCCATGGCTATGGGAGTATACCATGTGATCCATCCATCTCATGTTTCTCAGATTTGGATCCTGATGCTTTGGTGATGAGATGGAGCCAGAAAGAAACAGCAGCTGGTTCTTCCCCAATGCAATAGACCAAAAGGGGAGAGGCAGGAAAAGGAAAAAAAAAAGCATCAATACAGAAGCTCCTCTTTAAGCTGAAAGTTATCGCCCCAAAGGTGCTATTTCTTCCCTGTGTTCAAGGGGAAGGGAAAACAAAATTGTCCCATTTGTGTTTGCAAGGAGGCCTCATTCTGATTGCCAGATGTTCAAGTACTGTTCTTCCTTAATCCCTTCTCTCCCTTTTTGTCTTGAATCTATTTCTACCAGTTTTAATTAGAGTTCCTTGGGAAAAATAGACCCACAAATATATCTCAAAAGCAATTGCCCTTACATCTCAAAGTACAGCAGGGTGTCAATATAAGCAAATCATTTCTGTTTAAAGAGAATTTGTGAAATTGTCTTCTTTTGTGAGAGTGTATAAATACAGCGCTCATAAAATAGCATTACCATGATTTTACTATTGTATTCTGGAACAACAATTCCATACACACATATCAAGAAGCAATTATATTGGGTTCAGTGGAGACACCTTTCCCCCATGATAACTCTTTCAGGATTGAATTTTCCTTCTCAGGGGTAGATTCTTCTCACTTCCTGTTGTCTCACCCCTGTTCTTAACTATGACTCATTTATTAATCGGATGTTTGCAACTCAGGGACTGACTGTACTTGACTAAGGTTAGGAAAGCCAGATCCAATTTGGGCTTCAGCCAATTGCAGATACCCTAACCAATCCCAGAGCTGTTATAAGGATAAAAACAGAAAGGACAACCTGGGAGGAAAGGCAAAATATGGACCCATCAGCAATAAAAAATAGTAGGGCAGAAGCTTTTGTGAATAACAGCCTACTTAATTAGATCCAGAGGAGGTATCCATTAGGTGTAGAGGTGCAGTGGATTTAATACTAATCCACTGAGACTTTCATTGGCTTTATATTTGTTTATTTCACTGTTAATCCACTCAGAAAACAAGTTATTTGGGATAATATGCCAAGCTAGATAAAATACAATATAAAATGTAATAAATGCAAAGGAATAACTGCAAAAAGCAAATGAAGACATCTGTATAAAAACAACAAAAATGATAATCTAGAATAACTGGGCACCAAATGTTTGTTTGTCAAGATGCTGAGAAGATAAAACTATAATTTGAGTCCACTCTTAGTTTCACTCACTAGAGTAGTTATTGTTTCTGCTGCATGCCTTCAATTCATTTCCAACTTACGACAACCTGACGGTGATAATATCAGAGGATTTTCTGGGGCTGAGATTGTGTGACTTGCCCAGATCATCCACTGGGTTTCCATCGTCACATGGAGTCAGATCCTGGTCCAGTGCGCAAAACACTACACCACATTGCCTCTCTACAGAAAGTATTAGTTATGCCATATTTGTGAAAGAGATAGCTTTTATTCAGACTAAGCAGGAATGCTTATGCAAGAGCACAAATGTCTATATCATGCTGGTAGCACTGGAGTTACTCCACACATGCAAATCAGTACAGTGGTTTCAAAAGCCATTGGCCTAGATGACTTAAAAAAATTAAAAAAATGGCACCATGTGGTAATATGAAACCTGAGGGTTTTTTTTTTCTAGTCCACAAGTCCTAAAGTTCAAAAAGAAGTGCAGGACTAAATGAATGTCTACTTACCATATATTCCATGTTAGATGCAGGTGGAAAGACTTTGCCTCGCACTTGATTGTGATAATCCAGAATGGCAATCATGTCATTCTGTGAAATGTATCGTTTACTTCTGGTTTTGGGGAGGTTCACTGAATCCAGCTGAGTATTCAAAGCCCCTTCAGCATTGGTGGAATCATTGACTGACAGGTACACATCAGTGGAATTTGGTAAAACTATTGCATTTGTATCACAGACAATGAAAATTAAAAGGGCACTGCCAATGGTTGTGATTACTGTCATTTTGGGGCCTATGGAAAGAGAATATTACTTTATGCCAGAAAGTTTAGAAGATCTGTGAAAATGAAAAAAAAAGTTAAGAGCTTAAGTGGGATGAATATGAATTACTTTTATTCATGACCTCTACTGCTCACTCAAGTTGATTCATGCAAGAAACAAAATTCAAAATATTTTTCCAGACAATCAAATAAAGCATTGCTGTATCTCATATCACCTAGCAACAGTACAGACACAATTGCCCTGTGACATCCAACTGAATGTATTCATGCAGACCCTCTTAATGCAACTGAAGAGGCTGCAAAGAGCATCTAATATTCTGGATATTAAAAAGATAACATCTATGCTGGTCATTAATGAATAACTTCTGCCCCAATTCTAACTTAGTATACATTCAAAAGCATATCAGCACACAGGAAACATGGGAAGATATAGAAAGAGAGTTATTTCACTAGTACAGTTTAAAATGAGTCCAGCAAGATGTGTATTAATAAAAATGCATGCAAAGCAAACTGAGCTCAATGGCTTACCTCTTTGCAGAACCAAAAAGCCTAGAGTATTGTTCTTCCAAGTTAAACAGCTCTTTTCTGTGTGCTAGTGCGAACCCTTGGAAAGAGGAGTGTGTCTTATTACAACCCCTTAAAGGAAGGGAGGGAAAGACAGAGAGAGAGAAATTTGGAAGAAGAAAAAAACCTCAGCAGGCTTTCTAGTTGCTGGCTACAGGAGCTGCTAACAGCTTTTATATGTTACAGTAAGCTACAAAGGGTAACTCTTTCCAAAACTCCTTTGCACAGCTTAAATGAAAGGGGGTGGGGTTTTTCACAGAAAACCCAGTGATTGGGTGCCATCTGTTTCTTACTGTAGGATACTAGAGATATTTTTTCACACCCCCTTCTCCCAGACTCTGAAGATGCAAGAAGACAAGCCTTCCTTCCCCCAGTTTTCTGTTTTTAATAGTTGACATTTAGTTTGGTTCTTCTGTGCTAACAATGATGTACATAAGAATAAGAAAGACACATGCATTACACACATATTCAGCAGATATCTTTACATAGTGAGATTGCAGGATATGCCACCAGTAGCTTGTAAAGTAAAAGAGAACCACTTCATATATCAGTCACTACAGACTGAAGCCAACACTTGAGGCACTGCCACAAATAGTTTATTTGCATTCATGCAACTCTGAGACAGGAATGAATAAACTGGTAAGTCGGGTAAAAGTTTATCACCTGAATGCCTGTCTGCAGAAAGTTACAGAAGCAACTTAAAAGCAAAAAAAGGGGTCAGGAATACATCTGGTTCCCATTTAGCTGAATAGAGTTGGAATTATTTAAACAGAGAATAGTTCAGGCACTTATACAGCAAAACTGAGAGCATAACACCAGGTCTATGAAGAATGCAGCAGCAGCAGTAAGGGCCGCCAATGACCCAGAGCCAGCAATCCCATATTATGGGGTTACAGATTGGAGTGCAGTCAATATTAGGCCAAAGCAATGCCAAGTCTGGGAGGCCTGAGGAAATCTTCAAAAGCAGGCCCCCTCAAACATTCAATAAAAATATTTTGTGATGTCAGTGGAATGAGACTATTCACAGGACAAATCATCTGGAGCAAGAGGGGGGAAAGTCTAGCATATAAACAAAATCTCCTGTTCTTTGCTGGGGCATTGGTCTAATACAAAGTTCCACTAGTTGCCAAGATGGAAGGATGGTGCCGCGGTTAAAGTAATGTCTGACCCAAGTCATTTTGCTGCCTGAAATCAAATAGTATCACCCACATAAGTCACAATGTGTGGTTATTATCCAATGTTGGTCCGTTTATTTATGGCAGAAAATCCTACATGTAACCCTTCCTCTTCAAGCCAGGGCAGAAAAAAATAACAACAAATAACTGAAAAATTTGGTGCCCATTCAGGAGTCTCCAAAATCTGCCGCCTGACTCTATTTAATGATAGGGTGAGATTGACTGAAAACAATGCCATTCAAATGCTGTTTAGTATTTATTTTGAGACACACACAAGGTTTTAAGAGGACATTCAACATTTCTGGTTGCAAAAAGTTTAATGACATGATTAGATGTGAAACATGGCTTTAGAAAATACTAGGGGGAGGGTGAAAACTATGTTCCTTGATCAGAAGGGGGAAACATGCTCTGTTTGTCCAACCTGTTTCAGAAGGCTCTTGTCTGTACAAATGTAGGGTCTCAGCGTGCTGGAGAACGCCTGTTTTAGACAGGCAGTTGAGCTTTCAATGATGGGATGACATGAATGTCTCCAAATGTTGTAAGGAAACAATCTACATTGATCTAGGGTTTAATAGGCATCCTAGCCCTGATGGGCCTCTGAATCCCAGCCACTTTCAACCCCACAATTTGTATTGTTTAGGACAGGGCTTCTTAAACTTCTTTTTGCCCAATATTTTTTTACACAAGGCAGGGTATATAACCATATAAAATAGGTATACAAAATGGCATAATATATTCTTTTGGCTCTCCGTTTTATTCCTGGATTCATGTAAATGATAAAAACAGCCACTAGGTGACAAACTGTACAATTTTTTGCATGATCCCCAGATTCAGTTAGGAGCCCTGAATGGAGTTGCAACCCTATTTAAAAAGCCTTGGTCTAGGAAACAAACTGTAGAAAGTTCCTTCAGTCTCGTATAACCCTCATCCCATACACCCATGCAGTGCTGAGAGTGTGTGCTGATGTGATCCCGAATCGGCCTGATTTCTTTTTAAGAGCCTGATATTTTTATATCCTCATAGAAACTCAAGGGAGAATTCTGTATTAAAAATCCTATTAGAATTTCTCATGTAATTTTAAGTCCCTTGCAAAATAGATATCACTTCAGGAACCAGATGAAAGTAACAATTATGAATTCTTTTATTCAGAAGTTTTGGGTCATGGGTTTGGAAGTGAAGACTTGCAATTTTACCTCTTCATCAAAACTGTGAAAATGTGTGTGCCAACATTTCAAAGCATAATAGTCTCCATTCATTGATGTGCCACCCCCCCCCCAATGTGTTTGTTGCATTTAAGTTGTGCCTGACTCTTTCATTAAAAGTTCTGTTACTGAACTGTCATTTTCCAAACTGTCAGCTATTTTTTAAAAAAACTCAGCTCAACACATGTGGAGAGTAGATCAAATATACTGATGTTAAATATCCATTACCCAAAAGTATCCTCTAACATTTAGAACAATTTGTCACCAGAAAAACATGGCACGTGATGTCTAAGATGCATACAAAATGTTGTTATATATAACTTATATTTCTGTGTGTACACACACATGGGCTGCAATCCTGTGTGGCTAAGATTGGCCTAGTAGGTCTGTAGGTATAAGGCTGAGTCATATGCCACCCCTAAATCATAATCTGGAAGCCTCCACATGACATATGCCCAAGAGATCGCATTTTAACTTGAATAGGGAACAAAGAAACTATGGTTTGAGTGTTGGACTATCATTTTAGAGACCACAGCTCAAAATTCTGCTCAGCCTTAAAACACCCTGAGCAGGGTCTTGGGCAAGTCACATGCCCTCAGCCTTAGAAGAAGGCAAAAATTAACCCCTCTGAACAAATCTTGCCAAGAAAACCTAATGACAGGTTCATTTAGGATTATCATACAACAGAAATTACTTGAAGACCCACAACACCAACATTGGTTATGAATGAAAAGGTGAAATTACACTCTCAAACATATATGTATTTTTCTAGACAAATAATATAAAAATACTTATCTTTGTTATCTTTATGTGATCCAAAATTTCATGCATTCAAAACTCTATTACTTCATGAAAATTGTGGAGATTCATACTCCATGAACGAGCAGCTGTGCTGCAGAACTATTTCATTTGATATAGCATACAGTATTACATAAAGTACTGGACTGATTTGTTCATCAGACAAACATACGTAACTCTGTGGAAAGCCTTCCAATCTGTACAGTGTGCCAAGTGAGATTCTCTTCAACAGATCATAATTTATCCTGGACAGCCCAAGACACTGTGACGCATATAAGCAGCTGAAAGAAAATCACCAGTATTTACTGACTTTGACTGGAAACGCTCTGTCATATTACATTGAAATGTTTCTAAACAAGTCTTTTAAAATAACAATGGTACTAAGCAAGCTAAGAGAGAAATAAATGTCACACATGTCAAACAGAATTCCAGCTGTGGAAATGTTGACTTTAGCTCTTCTATGGTTCTCATAATCTATGTGGATGGAGAGAAATTCTAGTGACAATCTAGCAGTAAAGTGAATGACTCGACAACATCTAATACTAGAGAACATCTTTGATTCAGATAATGTGATGTATTTTCCAAGCCTGTTCTTCTCCTACTCTTATTTACATATTGTCAATTATTCTGATGCCTGTGAAATCAGTCTCTGGAAATATCCAGCCTCTGGAAAACAAAGAGAGAGATTTTTTTAAAAGTGACTTACCCAATGTGTATACAGGTGCATGAATCTGGAATGATTGTTTGTTTGTTGAATTATTTTGGAACTGTAAACTCTGGAATCTTCATTGGATTAGATATTAATACTCTGGTACAGTATGAAAGCATTAGAATCACATCTCCAGTGTTGAGTGTGAAATGGCTGCTCACTCCATCCTTATGCCAGGAGGAAAGAGATATATAGCAGCTGCCCTGATCCTCCTCCCTTTATCTTCAGGCTGTTCTTTCAGTGCAATTCCAGGAGGAGGACAAGACAGGTGACATCTGAGAGCGCTTCAGAGGGCTCTCAGCCACTGCGTACCTTCCTTGAGCCATCCTCCTGGCATAAGGACAGGGCTGTTTGCACCATCCTTATGTTGGGAGGAGGGTAAGACACATGTTGGCTGAGAGCACTCCAGCAGCTAAGAGAGGGCTCTTAGCTGCTGCGTGCCTTCCTCCCCTGTCCCTTTTGCATAAAGATGTGTCAGGCCATCACATTCTTATGTCAAGAGCACAGGGAAAATAAGGAGGGCCTGAGGTAAGCACCCATGGGGCCACATCTGGCTCCCGGGCCTTAGCTTGCCCATGCCTGGCATAGTGGTTTGAGCATTGAATTATAACTCTGGAAACCAAGGATCAAATACATTCTTAACTATGGAAACCCACTGTGTAATACTGAATAAGTCAAACTCCCTTGGTTTTGACAGGTTTGTCTATTACTTATTTATACCCTACTTTATCTCCCCCAAAGATGATTCAAAGCATCTTAACATAAAAACATCATCATAACCATTTAAAATATACAAATATACAAACATTAAAACAGGATTAAATATAGACAGTATTTTAAAATTCCCAGTTATAAACCATTAAAACGAATTTAAAGTTAAAAATCACAACACCTCCTGAATTGAGCTTTAAAACTTTCTTCTTTAAAAGCCTGTCTAAATAAAAAGGTTTTAGCCTGCTGCCAGAAGGACAGCAGGAAGGGGGCCATTCTGACTTCCCTGGGCTGGAAGTTCCAGAGTCAGCCACTGAGAAGGCCCGCTCTCTCATTTCCACCAACCAAGCTTGAGATTGAGGTGGGACCCCGAGATGGGCCTTTTCTTAAAATCTCAGGGCAGGTTTGTACAAAGAGATGCAGTCAGTCAAATGTTTGAAAGAAGTCTGAAAGGATTTGAAGGTACACAACAGCAAATCATAGATATTACACCTCCCAGCAGCTGCTGGTACTATCCACAAGTAGGAGGATGCTATTATTAGGCATATGGGAAACTGTATTGCATCTAATCAAACCGTTGGTCCATCTAGCCAACAGTTGTTCTGGTTTTTCATACATTTCCTCTA